GGTGGGTGGTTAAGAAAAAGATCGTTATCGTTGCATTCAGACAGTGGTAAGAGAGTCACAAAGGAAGATACTGCAGCGCCTCATCCACCTAATTCCTTCATGGCGAAGTGATCAAGCCGTCTGCCTCGCGCTCTAAAGGTGGTGGGTTTGTTTCACGGCGGCGTCGTTTGGTTCATGAGCCCCACTTTTACGGAAACCCTAGGGAGTCGTCGCCGGAACTCACAACATCTAGTTTGTTATACATCAGTTCACTACCAAGTTTGCTGCTGAAGATGGAAAAGGAGGGCTTATAGAAATGTCATGAGAGCTGTGATGTGGATTCTTAATTCAACATTCAATATTTTTTCGGTTACAGAACTATATTCCCAAATGCCTGTAAGACGTAAAAGGGGACCTTTACACTTTGCCAATATTTTCTGCAGGTCAAGCCGGTGTGTTGGAAAATGAACAGGGAGATAAACTGGTCGGTTCTGCACCACTTGGTGATGAACTGATGTGCGACAAGCTGGATGTTGTGAAGGCCCTTTGGGAGCGAGTGAACAGTGCCGAGGAACAGATAGATCATTACGGTGTGAGGAGAATGGCACTGCGAGGAGTTACAAGGGGATCTAGCCGATGCTCTACACACAAAGGAAAGGCTAGACGGATATACAATCAGACAGTTACTGGTATCATCGGAATTTTTACTCTTCGCTTGCTGTTGAAAATAGGGACAGAGCGCTAAGAGGGGTGCCCGAGTGCTGTGATGTCGATTCTTAATTCAACATTCAACACTTTGCCATTGTTTCTGAAGGCTTCTACGTCCATCGTCTACTTCTTTTTTTGTCCTGCTACTCATGCCGTAAAGTGTCGTAGAGAAGATGTTATGTCTTTTGTTCTTTGAATAGCTTGCGTTATATCCCCTAAAGACTTGCTGGGTCTGTTTTAGAATTGTTTCTAACTTCATAAATTGTCGGACAATAACACTTGTATTCATTTCTTAAAACACAAATGCAAAAACTTATGTTTTTTACACTCCATGCTGGATATATATACCCCGTTGACAAAAGCAACGCAAAGCAGTCTAGTACTAAATCGCCTGCAGCTGACTCCGAATCCATGTGTACCGAGAATATAACACGATGTTTACAACCCATTAGCAACAGACAGGGAAAAATATAAACAGAATAACTTATAGAATGCCTCCCCAGAGGGATACGAAAGTTGGACATCCAGCGGTAATTTTAATAACTCAGGACTGGAAAAGCGACAAGAAAAATAAGTGATTTTATAATCTGTATACGTCTGTGTCTTTATGGGAATATCGTTTTGTATTTTTACGACGTAACTTATTCTTTCCAAAGGAAGGTATGAGCGATTGTTCTGTGTTTATAGCGTGTTTTACATGACAGGGTTGCAGAGGGGTAACGATAATAAAGAAGTCATAAGGAAGTTGAAATGGGAGACCCTGGGGATTTCGACACATTGGAGACTAGAAGAATTTCAGCAAACAACACTTTAAAGGAGAGGTTTAAAACAGAATAGAAACGAAAAGAAGGTTTTGTCATATGACCATACTTCTTATTCCTTTTATAGCATTCAGCGTTTGTAAACTTCGACGGTATGTTCTGGTTGTTCGCCCACTTCTAGTCTTTCGTCTTCTTCCAGAGTTTGAGTTTTGCCTGCATATCTGTTTTACAGATCTGGCTAATTTGTATGCAGACTGTTGGATCCTCGCCCCGCAGGTAAATGTACTCGACTTCGAAGTAACTCCCCCTAATTAGTTGCATTGTGCAACATGCTTGCTAAGGGGCGGTAAGTCTATTTCCATAGTTTAACTCATCTCATATGTTACTGTAAACCATCGTGTTTCCTTTGTTACTACAACTCAATAATCCTATGTCACTTTATTCATTTCAATTCCACGTGTTCAGTAACAAACTCATTCTTTCTGTCAGTAATGTCACTTCAAATCATCATATTCCAGTCGTCGTAGTCATTGTAGAAACATATTGTATGTGCTAGTTTGTAGAGATTTTAAACTGATTATTCGTCAGTGTATTAGTTTGTAGAGATTGTAAAACTAATTAGATGTCAATGCACTGGTTTGTAAAAGTTATAATACCTATTATATGTCAATATAGAGGTTTGTAGAGATTATAAAACTGATTATATATCAGTGGACAGATTGGCCGAGAAACAAAACTAATTGTATATTAATGTGCTGTTTGGTAAAGAGAACTGATTGTATGTAGGCATACTAGTTGGTAGAGATTATAAACATTATATTATCATTCTCACCAATCGCCCCCCTCCCCTTGTTTTTGCACTTCCGCCCCAGGATAGTTATCTGTCAAATAAAACCGAAGAGAATCCCACAAACCATGTTTAACAGTATAAAACTGTTATGTTAGGAAACCTCTATGGTTAATAAGTAACCCACTGTCCAATGTAGGGATGGGATGATTGGCTGAGATTATAAATTGATTTTGTGTCAAGGCTGGGGTTAGCAGGGGGAAAAAATAAAAAAACTAAATATACATGTAGATTTACTGGTTGGTGTTAATAAACTAATTATATGGGTTTCCCGTGGCGGAGCGGCTAGATGCTCGCCGCGGATCGGAAGGTCGTGTGTTCGCTCCCTGGCGAAGTCGGACTTTTTTTTTTTAAATGACCTTGACTCTCAGGTCGACCAAGGCTTGGTGCAGTCCCGGGAAGTAGAGGCGGCCGGTGTGATGCTGACCACATCACCCATCTTGTGTTGAATGATCTATAAAAATGAAGATCTAGTCTTATATGCCCTATACGCCTAAAAGCGTGGAAAAGGGTTATTTATTTTTATGCTTATATGTCAATGTACTGGTAGGCAGGGAATAACAAATATATATATATATATATATATATATATATATATATATATATATATATATATATATAAATATAATAAAATATATATATATATATATATATATATATATATATATATATATATATATATATATATATATATATATATATATATATATAGGATTTACTGGTTAGTGGTAATAAAACTGATTATATGTCAGTGTACTAATTCACTGAGACATTAAAATGATTATATGGTCATTGTTCTCCTTCAGGCGGATGAAGAACACATGTGGAGAAGTCCTAGAAACCCTTTTCAGCCGTTAGGCCATATCTATGACTAGGCCATATTTATGGCCTGGCTATATTCAGTGCCCCTGGTATTAGCCAGGGCGGGGCTTTAAAATAACAAAAAACTGCATCCCACGAGGGGAAGACATTAAAACAAAATATCAAATCTCATAAACCATATCCCAACCGTATGAAACGGATATTTTAGGGCATGTCTATAGCAGAAAGAATACATGAATCCTACTAAGTAGTTTGCAGAAATGATAACAAATCTTAGACTAAGGGCCGCAACCATGAAGTTGTTTTGTTGTGCTAATGCCAAGTTGCAAAGTCATTGAGTGTGCACACCGGCGTTCATTGTATAATTAATACAACTATTGCTGCGACTATTCTGTGGCTAAGACGTTGCGATTGTGCTTTGTAATTCTAAGTTGACGGATTCGATTCTAGCCGTGAGCGGTTTAGCAGCCGACCGCCTTGCATTGGTGTCGATAAATGTATCGAGAGCTGAATGTTTAGAAAACAATGGCAAATTGCATAACTTAAAAACCTAGCGAAATCACACACAACTAATGCTGTGTATGGTTCTGCAATGTCCTGTAAAGGATACGCAACTAGCCTTTAATAATTGAAACAAACAAACGTAGGCGTTACTTATTGTCACCCCCATGTTAGATGCAACTTTTAGTTATTTTGAAGAACCACCATGGCTTTTGCCAGGGGCCCTGAATATGGCAGGGCCTTAAATATGGCCTGGCGCCTGAACGGGGTTTCTGGAACCTCTCCACGGGCGATCCTTATCCGCATAGTGGTATTTTATGTCACCGGGTGTTTATCGCTCGTGTGGTGTCCTGGTGGGGTACAACTTACCCACCTACCTACCAAACAAATGTAGTCTTTATAAGAAAGATGTGTTTCAATTTATTTTGTATCAAAGGTATTCGTAATGATCGAATGCTGATAGAAGACAGGAGGTTAAATAAAATAACATGTGCAAAGATTTATCAACGAGGAATTAGATGTGGATCCGGCAAGATGGGACGTATAAGAGCAAGAGAATGACGTGTATATAATTAGTGTGCTGTGGTAACAGTTACATCGTACGTAATTGACTATGCCCCGTGTGTTATGATGTCGACTCTTATATTGATAATCAGTAATCAAAAGTTGGTTTGTAAAGGGGTCTCCTTACGAGAATATAGCGGTACGTCGGGTGCAAGAAATTGCAATTATATTATTTTATGACCAAGCGTCTATTCATGAATGATGTAGTAAACATCAAACAGGCCTCCTTTACCTCCGCCGTCACCTCCTATGTGCCCTTTCTAGACTGGGTCAACCTAGGAACAATTTCATTTTGTTTTCAATGGGCCAGATGCGGTTTGAATCCTACACCTTTGGCAAAATTCGGGACACCTTGAGCAGCCATGTTATCACATTCATGCACAAGTTTTGACTGCAAATTTAAATGCATGCTTTAGTAAAATAAGACTTGCAATGAAATAAAAGACCTTCTTCTGTGCGTTCACCAGTTGTAAGCTATGGGGGATAGTTTCCGTATCACGTGTACATCCGTTTCATAGACATGGCTGATTTGTATGCAGACCTTTTAATCCTCGCCTCGCAGATAGATCCACTCTGGCTTCGTAGGAAACAACTCTAATTAGTGGACCTTTACGACATGCTGCTTGAGACTCTGGGCGTTGAGTCTATCCCCCCACCCTCCCCCATAGTGGGGCAATGCAATCCATACGAGGAGCAACGAAACAAAGAACAACAACAATCTCTAATATATCAGATACAGATACACTGAGACAATGAGCAGGCAACAACACACAAGGCACGGATCAATTCCAAAATGCGAATAAGGGAGGCAAACTTACCAGTAAACTTGCCGGGTCCCAGGGGTTCGCCCATGTCGATCTCCACAGCGCCGCCGTTATTGTTGCTGCCACTTCCTTTGCTGTCACCGTTACTCTCTGGACTGCCGCCTCTGCTGTCGTCCCCCGATGTTCCTTTGGTGGGGATGACCTCGTCATCTTTGGATACTTTCTGGACACTGAATCTCCTACCGGTTCCACCATGCTCCGGAGAGGTAGGTGGGTTCAGAGGCTCCATGGCCTCCAGGTCTTCTCTGGTGCTCATGTTAAACGATTTAGCTAACTATAGTCTGTGTCAGTTACAGAAACCTGTCTCTTCTCACTAAATATAGTGTAATTTGCTCAGATTATTTCCCCTGTGTAAACAAACAAATTTACTAATTAACAGGTTCTATAATAATAATGATAGTAGCAATCGTATGTTTCACAAAAACAATAGTTAAACATATGAGAACAGCGCACATTAAACCCTGAAATCGATATACAGAATAACACACCCAACTTTTCACTATATTCACTTTAAACATAAAGATACACACGCTGTGAAAATACACACGCTGTGAAATAATCCAGGAAGATGTATCCGCAACGATCAAGGAACGTAATCTATTTTTCTTAGCAGTTGAAAATTAGTAAGCTACGTCTCATATCTAACAAACATCCTGTACTGTACCAACGTCTAAAACTCTTTTATATTGAAACTTACCATCGATATGTCCTACAACAGCGCACTAACTTTCGAGAGACGCTCTCAACAGCTGCAAGAGTACACACGCTGAGACCGCTTTGGCAAGGCCGTTACCCTAACACAAAGCTATCTTCTCAAACAGTCACACCGGGAAATACATAATCTATGAAAGGCCTTCCACATTTAGGAGGCCATGGTATTTGTCGCATTGGTTGTTTCACTAGCTTCAAATATAAACCCATGTAAACAAAATTCAGCGGGAAAAAAATAACCCTATTTTTGCAAGCAATTTTAACGTTTTGAAAAGAGCAATTTGTCACAGCAAGGCTGTAAATATAACAATAAAGACAAAGTCAATATTAGGATTATTTCATAATTAACTACGATGCGCTTCTATAAAATCCCATTGTCGACTAGTCATACAGTGTGCTTCAAAACTCGTGTTCTCACTCTTTAACAAATATCTCGAAAACTCCAGTATGGATCAAATCGAATTTTTGCATGGCATTAGATTCCACATGTTCTAATGATTTTATGATTTATAATTTTACAAGTGCTGCTAATTTCTTAGAGCAGAGACGTTCTTTGATCCCTTTTTGACTAATAATTTCCGTATCCCTAAAAAAAATATAATGTACAGCAATTGATACACGCGCGGAAATGTTTTGGAAATCAGTTCAGAGATGCGTGGAGATTATTTTAATAGCAAATCCCACATACAATGAAAAATTTGCAACTCAAGGTGACTAATGCTGAAGATAACCACCTGAGAGTGAAACTGCAATGAAAAATGAGCAATCTGATGTTTTGAAAAGTTCCCAGTACCCAGTTTAATCAAGTTATTTAAGTAACATGCTGACTGTTCGTTTTGAATCAGTATATTTATTTATTTATACATTCAAATAAGACAACATGAAACTAGACGTCTCCATTTAAACACAAATCTTATAAATGATTAAGAGGTTGCATGACAAATTTCACCAAACGGTTGCTTAGTTGCAGCTTTTAAAAGTTAAGCAAAACTTCTGAAACAGACTATAATATAACTAATCTATGTGTTGTTATGCTTCATCGAAACTCTTCTACAGTACGAAACAGACTACGTAGCGTACATTCATCTAATAGACTCGGAGGGCACGAACTAAACTAAAAGTCGTATACCTGTAAATTTAAAAGGTTACAGGACCAGGCAACATAGTACTCCCTCTCTGCTACTTTGGGAGTCGCCGTGGTGTAGCGGCTAAACGCTCGCCTGTGAATTTGAATGTCATGTTTCAAATCCGGACCATGCAGCACTTTTTATAATGGCTTAGACCACCAAAATGGGTAGAAGGTGAAAGTATTGGGAAGTAAAGGTGGCCGGCGTAAAGCTGACCACATCACCCATTGAATGCCGAATGGTCTAAAAAAATGTATGTCTCGACCTATGTGCCTAATACGCCTTAAGATGTGAAAAGGAATCCTTGACTTGACTCTGCTTTTTTGGAGCGAAGTAACCTAATGGTTATTTACCTGCGGCTTCTGTTTTGTGACAGCGATCAGAGTAGGCTACATTCACCTGCAGCCTTCTTGTGCGACGCTTCCAATCCCCCTCCCTCCCCTCCCGGACAAAATGGAGACAAGAATGATTGTAATAAAGATAAAGACGGTCCTAATAAATATTTTGAAAAGGTACTTCATGAACAAACTGACGACAGCAGCGACGACGACTTGAAGAAGGATGACAAGAAAAACCATAATATTTATTATGAAGACGATTACAATTGGTTATATTTTAACAGAGTAAACACAAACTATATTGTTCATACACAGCTAAACAAATTCAAAACACATTTACTTTCTCGATGTACATGTTTGATTTTCCCTAACATAAATTGCACTTCCCATGTTTATCCTGGTGACAAGAAGTACTCTACTTAACTCAAGCATGATTTTATATGAAAGCTGTCAATGACAATGATACAATATCAATAAACTTGATCTCAAGAAGCATAAAATCACCATGAGTGATTTGTTATTATCTTGATTTTCTAAACAACAGACAATCTAGCACGAAAATGGACGTCAATAGTGTTAAAACGAAAATATCGAACTTGTAATTAGAAAGAAAAAAAAAACAAAACAGATGCACTTAGAACTTCACAGAAGGTAAATTCCAGCCGAAAATAAGTAGAAGGAAATATCACTGGAATCAAACGCGGTCTGCTTCCCCATGACATAGATTATAAAACACGATGAACCAACATATCACTTCTTAACTACAGTAGCTCCAATGAATTCGAATCTGTAGACTTTAAATGGTTGAAGCTCTAACTCATTGTCTTCTCATAGTCCATGCCGTGTGGCATTGGCAGTAATGTCTTTCTTTAACCTTCTGTCTCGTGTACTTTCAATCAGTTCTGACACAGATGATCCTCCATGTCATGATGTCACACTGCCCAGAATCTTCTCTCTGGGGCTCTCTTTGCTCCCGTTCCCCTCCAACTTTCCCACTGTCACGGTGTTCTCCAGATTTCTTCTCCTCATGACTTGACCAACGAATGTAGAATATTATTTTTTATGTGGTCAGTCAGTTCTCTTGGTGAGCCAGTTTCTTCCATGACATCTTAATACTCTTTTTTATCTGTCCAGGTGTTTCCCTAATTCGTCTATGAAACCACATCGTCGATTCCAAATAATGATACACTAATCGTCCAACTGTCCGCGATTAACTTTAGTTACTTACACGAAAAGTGTCAAGATAAAGTCATCAATCATAAATATGGGAACGACTTCGCGATGCAGGTTGGGTGCAAGGAATCTTAAACAGGGAGCTCTTGTTGTATTCGTGTGTTTTGTTTGATTTATTTATGTGCTGATGAAGGCTCTATAGTTGCTAAGTTCATGTTTTGTTTTTGTTTGCTGAACTGTGAATCTACGGTTTTATATCTTTAATTCTCTCTTGTTAGCAAATCTGACTCTCAAGAAAACCATGCTCTTTTGTCTTTTGTAATTATCTCGTGTGAGCTTACTATACATCTCAGTCGGATTTCCCCCGCGTGGGTTCTGGGGCCCCATAAAGTAGGGGATAGGGCTGAATAGACCCATAGCCCTCTTAACTAACATGTCGTACAAGGCCACTAATTATGGAGTTTTCATTGGAAACCGGAGTGCATCTGCTTGAGAGTTTTCATTGAACCGGAGTGCATTTTGGGCATGCGCGGAGTGCATCTGTTCTATGAGAAACCATAAGAGAGATACGAGATGAGAGAGAGAGAGAGAGAGAGAGAGAGAGAGAGAGAGAGAGAGAGAGAGAGAGAGAGATGTTTGGGATGCGCGGGGTAGATGCAGTTCACATAATTATTAACCTTCAAAAAAGAGGAAGAGGGATGAGGAAGACAATGAGATAGATAGAGATAAATAGAGAGAGAGAGAGAGAGAGAGAGAGAGAGAGAGAGAGAGAGAGAGAGATGTGACACAGAGAATGAGAGGAGAGACAAATACAGATGGAGACTAGGAAAGAGAGACTCAGAAAGAGAGACACAGAAAGAGATAGACAGAAAGAGTAGGGCAGCGAGGTCAAATAAGTTACGAAGGGATAACGGTATAAATAATACAAATAACTCAAATTCAGAAGCACATACTAAATAATCCCACTATAACAATATACTGACCTCAGTAATCACACGATGCACTGCATGGAACACATATAGATACACACCTAATACAACGCACATCACGATATTGTACCGCAGTCAAGAATTATGCAAATACGTGTGTGTTTTACAGGCACTATTAATCATGCCTCCCCTCTATCTATATCTTCTTTATGTCGATGTTGAAACAGAAGGTCTGCGTCTGTTTTGCATTAGATATCCCATACAATTATAGATACCCTAATTTTCCATTTCACTGTCCTTCTCTGGGTTTTCTTAGATCATCCACATCTGCTTTTTTCCATCCACCATCCATCAGAGACCTGTCACTGCAAATACTTCAGCAGTCATTCTGCAGACATGTCCAATCATGGCATGTAAACACTATTTTTAATGCTTCTAGCCGCTGTTTATAATCTTCTTATACATCATTTCAAAAACATACCACTGGGCTGGCTAACAATAATAATGCCCGTGTATTTTCTCTTCGGGAAATGAAGGAATGCAAACTGACATGGGATACCATGGGCAGAAAAGCAGCAGACTGACAGCAATGGAGATCACTTGTGAATGCCTTATGTGTCAACAGCGACATGCAGAGGATTTAGATATAGATTTACTTTTTATAACTGGCTTTGGAACATATGCAGTTTAGTGAGCAGGTGCTGAAAAGTTAATGGAAGGTGTCTGTTTGAAGTTGTGACACGGTCTGTAGCTTTTCTGTAGTCTATTAGGGATAACGAAAGTTGGAGGATGGGAATAGAGAGAAAAAGTAGAAGCAGCAGCAGCAGCATCGACAGTGGTAGCATCAGCAAGTGAAGAAGAAAATAGAAGGAGAAGAAGAAAAGAAGGAGGAGATGATGAAGAAGTAGAAGATGAAGAAGAAAAAGAAGACAAGTTGAGTTCTGATAGGTGTGTTTAGATAAAGATTCATACAGCCAA